TGTTTCATTACAATGATTATAATCTCCTCCATGTACCATCAGTTAACAGTATTTCTCTCTATTCATTTTAGCTGTTTTTATTTTAAACACTCAGGCATATATAATAATTTAAACCACCAAAGGGCACATTCTCCAAGTCTGCTTCCTGGCTGCCAGTTCTCAGTCTCTCTCTTTTCATGAATCTAGAGTCCTCAGCTGCTCCCTCTCTCCATGTCCCCATTTCTGCCTCCTTCTCTGGATAAGGTCCCGCTTTCTGCTTGTGCTCTTCTCTCTTGATGGTCCTTGTTTCTGGACTGTAAGATTAACTACTCCCCTGTTTTTGTTACAAAACTTCTACCATTACAATTTTGACAGTTGCAATTAGTCATGATAACAATTGCTCACTATTGAATCATAAGAATTTTATCCCCTTGCAGCTAGTTGTTGTTAAGTACCGTGGAGTTGGTTCTGACTCATAGTGATCCTGCACAGGGGTTCCGAGGCTGTAAATCTTTATGGGAGCAGAACGCCTCATCTTTCTCTCGCGGAACGGCTGGTAGTTTCGAACTGCTGACCTTGAGGTTGGCAGCCCGACTCGTAACTACTACGCTACCAGAGCTAGTCCAGTGTTTATTCTACAGAGCCACACCCACTGACCTTATTCATAGAATACATAAATACAATACTTTAATTTCTGAGAATTTCCTAAAATTTACCAGATTTTAGAGGAGAACAATAATTGTTTCTTGCACCAAAATGGTCCAATTTTCAGCATGTCCATTTTCTTCCTGACCCCAAGCCATTCAAAACAGCATCTGCTCACTTACGGCAATTATTCAGCCGACAAATCTGGGTAACTCAGAATTGCCAAGCTTAGAATTAAGTCGGCCAGCACAAATAGAGTCCAACAAAATCATGCTATTGTTCTGCCTGCTGCAATCTTGGTGCTATTACTTTCCCTTGGTCTCTAGATGCAATTAATTTTCTCCTTCCTTAGAAGTCTAAGAAAGTATTAGGATTACATCTGACAGGCATTGTTGTCTTCTTCACATGGGTCAGCAGAGCCACAGCTTTTCCATCAGTTGGTCTTTATTTGCATCCTTAAGAGGTATGCTAATTTGGAATTGAGCACCAGGCCTACTCTAACTATAAAGGGACCACCCCACAGTATATTAAAAGGTTCACATCAATGTATGCAATTTAAATGCACATGCATATAATTAACTAGACACATTACTAGTGTGAGCTGCTAATTTGGAATGAGACACAAAAGACTAGAATATGTGTAGAGGAAAAAAAAACAACTTAAAATTAAAATGACTACATAATGAAAACTGCTTCATGCTGTGTCTACTATTTTCGTGTAAACTTAATATAACTGTAAATATATTTTAATGAACAGTAGAAAGAGGCAATTATAAAGAACAAAGGAGGGCAGCACAACAGTGAAACATCATCAGTATAGCTCTTTGCTTCCATATTAAAAGTGCTGCCTGAAGTCAGAGGATGAATTATAACTTCATAATTTCAGGGAAAAAACGTTTTCTATATTAAAGACATATACCTATTTGCCAGCCTTCTGGAAATGAAAATAGAACATTCCAGTGAAAACAGGGGAAATCCTAGCTATCAAAACAGAAAAGAGAGTAAATCCAAGCTTGACATTTTGATGTGGAAAGATCCTATTACTTTTTCTTCTTTCACTAAAACAGATAGGCGCTTTCTTAAAGGCATCCCTAGAGCATGAATGAGGTCTCAATATTCTTAAGCACAAAAAAGCATTGATATCATAACTCAAAATATCTGTGAACATGTAGGTCTTTTAATTTAAGAACTCTCTATGTCTAAGAGCAATTGAAGAATATACAACTAAAAAATGAATGTGATAAATTACATGACTCAAAAATTTCAGAAAAATGTCAGATTTTTGACACTGATAGATTCTTGCTATTAGTGTTATAATCCAAGTGGGAAGATAAGAAGCTAAACAGTCAAAAAAAAAAAAAAAATATGCTGACTGTCTCCAGGGCTGAGCCTCTGAGGTCTTGGGGCTGGGAGAAGAGAATGTTTTTGCAAAGCAACAGAAAAATTCAGTCCATGAGATACTCAGTGAGCTTTAATTCTAAAGAGATATGCATTTTGTCAACTTGTTGTTTTTGTTGTTAAGAGTCATCAAGTCGGTTCCAACTATAGCAATCCTGTAAAGGGTTTCTGAGGAGTGGCTGGTGAGTTTGAACCGCTAACCTTGTGGATAGCAGTCCAGCGCTTATCAAACCAGGACTGCTAATTTCAGAAGAAATATTTGTAAAGCATAAAGGCTATATTATGGAAGTCAGAGTCACTATAATTGAGGATTTTGTTGTTTTTTAATGCACATCTCCTAGTCTGTAATATATATTTAGAAGATCATACTTTTAAATGTCAGATGAAATAGTTTGGGCTTGGTTAAAGATGAATAACAGAATCAACTGTTGTCTTTGTGTAAAGGTATCTACATACATAGAGTAAGTAGGAATATAGGATGCAAAGCAGACATTTAAAAATCCATTTAGAATGACACTGATAATAGTTTCACTAGGAACTCTAATTATTGTTTGATGCAACTAATGAGCAAAACACAGTGGGCCACCTGCTCGAGGTGAGTCAACCAGCTCACACTCTCTATCTTCTAGTAATAATTCCTCTCCAATCTGGGTATTTGCAAGCAATTTATATTCATAGAGTTATGTTATTTTTGAGAAGATAAGAGCTTTATAAATGATCTAGTGTAAGCCCCTCACTAATAATTTTAGCAAAATAATAGAAATACTAATTACTTTATTTTAAATTGCTGTTTTTACACTTATTTATCTTTTTCTTTGAATTTTCTCTTTCCTAAACTAGAAGGTACTGTTGTTGGTGTTGTTAAGTGCTGTTGAGTCAATTCCCACTCATAGCAACCCTGTGTAGGGCTTCTAAGGAGTGGCTGGTGAGTTTGAACTGCTGACCCTACAGTTCAAACCAACATTATGGTCCCGTGTTTCTTCTACAATGCCACATCAGGACTCCAGCAATGTACTGACCACTATATCTTATAGATTTTTATTTTATAACAGCACAATCTAGAATATTCAGCAAAGTATTTTAAAGACCAAATTAATACCTTTCCTTTAACTTGCCCTAACATGAGAACACATTTGATTAAAAAAAAAAAAAAGTTGGAACTAAAATAGCATTTAAGTGATGTTTTATTTTCTCCACTTTTTCCTTTTATCCGAGATGAAGCTATACCTGATTTTAAAAGCTGACATAATTTCTGTTTTGAAATAATCATAATCCAAATGTAAATATTGCTAATTTCAGAAGTAACATTTTTAAAGAGTAAAAATCAAAGGATATGATTTGCTGAATAAAATTCAAATAAAGTTATCCCAGAAAAATAATTTAATACCAGAATTCTATCTACAAAAATTTACTGATGAGCAAAAACTAAAATGTTGATTTCCTTACTCTCTGTATACATAAACCTGGTCATGTGAGTTGGATTCCTATGTGACATGCCCCTTTTATCAAATAAGGCAGCCTATTAACAAATGGTTTGATAGTACTTGGTCCATGGAGATTTCTACTAATTGCTCTGTGCTTTTAACAGTTCCAAATACACATTACAATTGTTTATTATAAAATCAACTGGAAAGCAGTAGCTATGTGCCTCTCATCAGACTAATAAATATTAGGCTATACAAAGAATGGTCTGTCTGAAAAATTGAGTTGGGACAGGACCTTTCCAATACCAAGTCAGAAACGTCAGTCATTCTGGCCTGTTAAATTCTTAAGAATCATTTTATGTGTGGGAGAAAAATACGAGGCTTAGACTATATGCCTGCTTTCAGGTTTCACTGATCTAAAAGGACAAGGATGTCAAAGAACAAAATGAAAGGGCAGATCTCAAGTCTTAATTATGTTGTAAGCAATTGGAAGAAGAAGACATCTTATTTATCATAGAACCTTTTATAGTATTTGCTACAGCTCTGGCATATGACAGGAAATTTAAATAATGTTTACTGATTTTTTATATTAGATTCACAACACTGATTAAAATAAATGAAAAAATTACAAGAGTTACTTGAGTAAAAGAAAGATTGAAGAATAAGATAGAAATAACTGCAGATATGAAACCAGAAAAACTAGATTTCAACCCTGGGTCTGGCATCAACGAGCTGTGTTATGTTGAACAACTTATTGAATCTCTGAACTTCAAGTTCCTTGTCTGTGACATGGGACAATAATATCTGATTTACATAGTTCTTAAGATACAATGAACTACTGTACAAATCACCTAACAATATCTGAGACAATAAAAGTGCTCCCTGAAGACTGTAATCATTGCAATGAAACAATTAGTGTAAAACCTATGTTTCCCCATGTAAACTATCACTCAATTCATAATAAAAACTTAAAAAGTTTTTAAAAAAGTGCTCCATGATTAAGAGCCACCACACTCTTGAGTGGAATCATGAACTTTATAAGTTAAGCAACAATATTTACATTTTCAGTCTTTCTTTACATGCCGTCTGTACCTTGATACACTATCTTCTATAATACACTTACATTTATTAAGGCAGTGACAAAGACTAATAAATATGATCCACAACAAACTATGTTGTTGTTGTTAAGTACTGTGGAGTCGGTTCCGATTCATAGTGACCCTGCACAGGGTTTCCAAGGCTGTAAATCTTTATGGGAGCAGAACACCTCATCTTTCTCCCACAGAACCACTGGTAGTTTCGAACTGCTGACCTTCAGGTTAGCAGACTTGTTCGTAACCACTATGCTACCAGAGCTGCTTACCACAAACTAAAGTAACCGTAATAATGATACCAAAACAACCATATGATAGAAATCAGCCATGCTCTTTTTTCCAAAAAGTAAATAGTGTGCCCATTGATTAATTAGTTGTAAAATATTCACAAAGGTGCAAGTTGTACTTACAATACACATTTTTAAAACCCCTCTGTGGTACATGACCCCATTCTCCTTACCAGTAACCTCCAGTGGATACAGGCATATTGCATCCAAAGAGTAACATATGATGGACAGTATCCATGCTGGCACGTGGTTTGAAGTCAACTGTGAAAGAAAACAATAGATGAATGTGAATACAAGTATATTCTTGGACAAAAATGTCAGAAGAGACCACATCTTTGTACGACTAAATAGCTGTATAAAACAGATGTTTCAGTGCTCTCATCGTATATTGCTATTGTTGCATTATTTATCCCTTAAGATGAATATGATGTTAATACTTTGATTTTATAGGATAATAAGCTGTTAATAACATTGTTGTTGTTGTTAAGTGCCATCGAGTCGGGTCCGACCCATAGCGACCCTGTACAGGGTTTCCAAGGGTGTAAATCTTTACGGGAGTAGAAAGCCTCATCTTTCTCCCGCGGAGCGGCTGGTAGTTTCGAACCGCTGACCTTAAGGTTCGCAGCCCGATTCGTAACCACTACGCTACCAGAGGAACATAATAATTAATAGCTGAGTGCTACACATACATTTCTTTTTTAAATGGAATAATCCTTTTAAAGTGATGAAAGCACTATGTAGGCATAAAATGAAAGGCTATGTATTCACAATACATTCTCTTAGATTTCCATAAAGTGCTGCCTACTGTAAAACATTGCACAGCAGTACAGATAAACAGAAGTCACAGTGAGTGGTCAAAACACGAGCAAAGGGATACATAATCCAAGTTTATTCCATCTTAAAACAATAATAGTAGCCACTGGGATATATGTGGAAGAGCGATTTACTAAGAAAGAAAAAGAAAAGTTCATGGAAAAATGGAGTTAAAAGATAATGGAATTTGTCCATAAAATTTTGAAGCCTTAAAATTACTCTCTAGGTAGAACACTCTGCACTTGTTAAAGGGATATTGAAACTTACACAATGTCTTTTACTAACTTTCCTAATAATTGTGGCTAAAAGACATGAAAATTAGACTAATTTTTTAAAAAAGAAATAGTACAGGGGCAAAACAAAGAGAAAATTTAAAATACTTTCCATCATTACTCATGATTAATATTGTTCACACACCCCTTTCTTGGTTTGGCTGTTGCTAATCTTCTTTGATTCACATTAACAATATTTCCCAGTATGCAACAGTTCATAAGCTATCTTTATATATAAAATGATAAATAGCCTAAAATGGTCTTAGGTCCCAGGTGCCTGCAAAGCTTCTTTTATACCCTTTGGTCTGTTTCACGCAATTAATAAAAAAACATTCATTATTAAAATGTGTATCTCTGATATGAGTATTTATAAATTTTAAATACTCAAACTGTAGGTACCATGACTTGAAAAACGTACCATCTTGATTTATAAATTTTAAGGGAAATAAAAAGTCCTTCATTCATTGTACTAGGGAGAGAGGCATGGAAGAACATAAAGCCTTAAAACTAAATCTCACACTTTTCATAATTTCATTTGAAAATCTAACAAACAGAAAAGATGGCTGGGAAATGCACTTGGTATAACTTGAAGCTTGGTGGCATAGTGGTTTACAAGTTGAACTGCTAACTGCAGCAGTTTGAACCCACCAACTACTCCTCGGGAAAAAGAGTTGGCTTTCTGGTCCTTTAAAGATTCATAGCCTCTAAAAAAAAATTACATAGGGTTGCTGTGAATCAGATCAACTTGATGGCAATTAGTTTGGTTTTGTCTTTAACAACAGAGAATGCAGGAAGTCTAGGAAAGAAAAGATACTTTGGAAGGAAATAGTCAATTGGAAATTATAGCAGTTGACAAATCATAGGAAATCATATTGTTTCCAGCTTAAATTTGTTAGCAAGAAAAATGGGAAGTAGGGATTCTATCTCTACTGACTCACTTACAAGTTGTATAAAGAATATCCTTCCTCCTCCTTTCCAGAATAATCCTAGATCTTTTCTTCCAGACAGGAAATCAAAAAAGCCATAAGGTGGGGGGACCATGATTTATTTGTCTTTTATTTATCTTAAATTAATTTTACTTAATATTTTATTTTAAATTTATTGTTCATCTTAAATTTATATCTTTAATTTACAAACAAATTTATTATATTAATTTTTGGCAAATTGCTCGTATCATTTTATGGGCATCCACAATGTTTTCTGACTGACTGCATCCTCCTTTCCTTTATCATATGCAAAGACCTCTGCCAATTCTTGAGGGCTTGTCAAACAAAAAACCCAAATGTTCCGCTTTTTCTGTAGTTATGAAGATAAACTCGTGGTTTTCCACTATTAGATTATTTTAATATTGATAGATTATGTTGTTTTTTTAATTTCATAAAATTGAATCATTCTGATAAGTTTTGTAGTAACATGACCAACTGTAGTTTAGTCCAAGAATCAAACTTTTGGAATGTAAAACAGTATGAATTTGATGTGTCAGCTCAAAATCCCAAAGGAACTATCCAGTGACAGTTGGAATTATTTGACTGTGATTAGCAGATGTTGGGCTGCTTAACTGTAAGGTTGATGGTTCAAGCCCTTCAGCTGCTCTATAGGAGAAGGATGAGGGTGTCTGCTCCTGTAAAGACTTATTCGTCTTGGAAACCCTACACAGGGTTGCTATTAATTGGAGATGACTAATTGACAGTGGGTTTGGTTGGTTCAAGAGAAAGGCTGGAGATTGGGAATAACTCCAAAAGTGAATCTTGAAGAGTAGACAAAAAGACCAAAAGTGAAAATAGGATCTACAGAGGAGTCTCAGGACAAGATTGGAAAGAAAGTGCTGAGCTGCCCGGTTCCTAGCGGGAGATACCAACAGTGATCATTTTTGACATGAATGCAGTGTGTGCATTGTTGTGAAGCAAGGCAAAAAGGCTGGTCTTTAATAATTTTATCAAATGCAGTGTTAATATACACAAGATTCAGGTAAGAATAGGAAGAACAGACAGAGGAATACCAATAAAGACAACAGTATCCAATCTCTATGGCTTTTCATTAGGAAGGAAAGACAAATTTTTGCTAGATCTTTGCTGATGCAAAAGAATCTTATAATTGTCATTTGTAAAGTAAAGAATAAATCTTACTTATTCCAAGAGAAACTTCTCTAACAACTTTGTGAAATTTTTCTCATTCATATATACTATTTTAAGTATCAGTTATTTATCTCATATTGAACTCTTGTGAATATATGTTTCAATTTTGTTTCTATAATGAGAAACAAATCAATATCTTTTAAGTGGTAGTAAAAGAAAAAGTATCAGAGATCTTTAACATAAAAAACTTATTCTTACTGACTCAAATATTACTAAGTAAGTTATTGGTACAGGGAGAAAATAGAAGCTTGCCATAATTTTATATCCTAAAGAAAGAGCATGATCGCTAAATATTTATATAATTATAACACAAAATGAAATTTATTGCAAGCTAAAATGAAAAATACTTCTCGCAAAAAAGGAATGCCATAATAAAATGAAAATCTAAAACAAATAGTAGATTCATTAAAATAAAGTAGTACTTGGACAGTTTCACTGAAAGACCTGCTGTCAGTAGAGCTGGGGAAACAAAAAGGAAACAGGCTGCCAGATTCATTTAATGGGTTGAATCCATTCATATTTATCTTGCCTGGCTTTGCAAAATAGACCTCACTCATAGTGAATAAGAATAAGGTCATTGAGCACAAGACACACATATGACTATGTTGGAGATTTCAAAACTACACAAAAGGGAATATTGAAAAATATTTTCAAATCCCATTTTAAAAGAAATTGCTCCTTCTTTCTTTTTCTCCCTTTACACTCCACAGAAATAAAGGATCCAGGAGCAAAGAGCTAGAGGATAATAATGAAAATGCCTGCATTTAAGTGTGAGAGTCTAATAAGCAAAGTAAACAAAGGTAGCCTTGGGATGTTGACAAACATGGCAAAACAGTCCTGTGAGAATGCAAGGGGATATTATATCCAATAAGATGAAAAGTGCCATCAACTCTCAAAATTCAATTATAAGATGACAGCTGCCTACCTGGAAAAAGTACTTTAGCCTCGATGGGTAACAATTCAGATTTCCTGATGTATAAGATCAGGGTTAATTTTATAAACAAATAAGTGTGGATAAGTTCTGAGAACCAAATACCTGAAATAGTAATTCCAGAAATAATGACTCATACATGTGAATAAAAGGAAATACGATGATACTAAAAGTGCATTGGTTGGGAAATTCATCAAAGGTTAATGTCATCTGAGATAGAAGACTTGAAAGTACGTATTTGGGCAACATATTGAGCAGAGAGATAACTAGGTCTACTTTCTGAAGTTCTAAGCAAAATTTGTTATAACTGAATGAGGCTGCTTGGATTTATGGCTTCTTTTAGCCAACATGAGATTACAATCAGGGAATTAAAATCTTTAATACTGTAATTTAGAAGAGAGTTTCATTTAGCAATTAGCTTTCTCTCCATTTTTACTTTCTAAGTGGATATCCTGGTGTGGTGCAGTAGAATTAACACTGCACTGCTAACCACAAGGTCACTGGTTCAAACCCAGCAGCCACTCCTTGGAAACCCTGTACCAAGTTGATATGAGTCAGAGCCTACTAGACAGAACTTAACAACCAATTCAGGACACGGAAATATTTTGAAGGACCCATATAGGCAAGTGGGATTTATATCAGGCATAAAGGGATCGTCCAATAGTAGAAAAACAATAAAAGTAATCCACCACATAAAGGAGCTCTGGCAGCATAGTGGTTACAAATCGGGCTGCGAACCTTAAGGTCAGCGGTTTGAAACTACCAGCCACTCCGTGGGAGAAAGATGAGGCTTTCTACTCCCGTAAGGACTTACACCCTCAGAACCCTGTATAGGGTCGCTAAGGGTCGGAACCGACTTGATGGCACTTAACAACAACAACAATCCACCACATAAGTAAAATTAAGGGGAAAAAAATCACACGATTGTATCAATTGATGAGGAAAAGGCATTTGACAAAGTCCAACACTAATTCCTGATAAAAACAACAAAATAGGAATAACAGGGAAATTCTTCAACATAATTAAGGACATAATATAAAACCACCAACGTCACTGTCAGTGGTGAGAAACTGAAGTCATTTTCCTTGCAAACAGGAACCTGACAAGGAT